AAACCACATCACACAGCACGTCATCCAGATGCCCCTTGAACACCACCAGGGACGGTGACTCCACCACCTCCCCAGGCAGCCTTTCCAGTGCCTGATCACTCTGAGAGAAAAACTTCTTCCCTATGTCTAACATCATCTGCTCTGTGAAGCACTTCTCAGGGAATCGCATCCTCAACCCTTCAAGCTGGTCCTGCAGGCAGAACACTGTGAAGCCCACAAGAGTCAAAGGGTTCCCTGCACAGAGAGGTCCTGCTCTTGGGGGACTGAGACGGACCTTGTAGTGACAGCAGGTCCAGCAGCTCGAGAGCAACTCACTCACTTGCCATAAAACAATACTAAGTGGCAATGAAGGCAATGCTAAGTTGTCCACAGCCTGGGCATGGGGCAAGACTGAAGGCAAAGAATGTAGAAAAAAAAAATAAAAATGAGCAAATGTGTTTTCAGGCTCCATCAAGAATATCTAGAATTTCAGGAAAACTACATAGAGCACCGAAATACAAAACATTCACATTTCATGTATATACACAGATCAGCTGTTGGCTTTGACGTATACGTCCATGCCACGTCTCCGCTGGAGCACAAGTCCTACTATGGAAGTGGGAAGAATAGTTTCTGAGCTACCCAAATCCCAGCAAAACCTGCACTGCCCGTGCAGATTTGTCCATCATCCAGAGGAACAACCTAGTCTCCTGGAAGCTCATTCTTTACCTTGCTGATAAAATAAGGCCCAGTTATGAACAATTATTGCACACAGTCAGTCATGTCAAGATCATCCACTAAGTAGTGCAGTTGGGCCATAAGACAAGCTTGATGAGTGTTTAAAAAAAAAATAAATGACTTTAAACAACTGAAACAGTGACTCAACATCAAGCAAGGGCTACTCTGGTTGTATTTTAACAACTGGACAGGCAAAAATAGATGATCAGCACATCCAAAAGCTTCTCCAGACTTCCCTGAAGCTCTCAGGTCTAGAAATTGTGCTGAAGTCCCTAAGAATAAGTACTGCAAGAGCTGTCCTACTTAGGAATAATAGTAATGGTAATAATCTAGACCATGGGCTGGAGAACAGTATCTGGTTTGAGTTCTATCTCTGACTCATTTTTCAACTAATTTTTTTCAAGATCTGCAAGGACCTGTGTGGGACCTCAGTGGAAGGAGGCAGTTACGTACTTGCATTTCGTGTGGAACCCATTCATACAACACTGCTCTTTCTACCTTGCCCTACCAGAGCTAAACTGATCCCATGGACTTACCTAGAGAAAGGGGATCTGCAATGACAACCTTTACAAGCTCCCTCAGGAAAACAAAGCTTAGGACTGTTTCAGACAGAATTCAGTCTGGGGGACAACACAGTCCTTCACTGACAACAGTAAATCAGATTAGAAATGTTCCTTAAAACTAGCAGTAGCATCATGCTAGGCTGAATTTCTTGAGTTATCTGTGGGAGAATGAGTTTTTATAAACAAACAAAACCATTGCAGTATTTTTGAAGAATGAAGTTCAAAACAAAACCAAGTCATCAAAATAGCCCAAAGCCTTTCAAAACAATAAGACTCAGTCCAAACACATGAGCATTCTGAGGCACACTGTACTGGGCAAAACAAGATTGCATGGGAATGCACAGGAGAAAAAGGACTCAGCTCTACTGGAGCAGTGGGCACATGGCCACATGCATTTCCGTAGCACTTTGTATTGACAGACTGAGGAAGTGGTGGTAATTTTTCCCTTTCTGTGAAGAAGAAATGAAGTAGAGACAAATCAGTACATTTACTTCAGATCCTTTGTGGTCTAAGAAAGAAACAAAACTCCAGGCAACTTCCTTTGCTTTCAGGGTTGCCATCCAATTGACTGCAGTGTTCTCCTCTAAAGTACAGCAATAACAGTGGAGTGGCACAATCCTAGGCTGCAGCAAATGAGAACAATGAAATGTAGCAGCCATGGATATGGAAGAAAAACCTGCTTACTTTTAGAAGGCCTCTGGTAGGCAGGGATCTTGCTAGAAATCCCTCTCCTCTATTGCCAATCCTTAAATGAGGTCTGGGAGGTGGTTCCTGGTTCCACTCCTGGTCACTTAAGTACATTGCACACACCTGAGCTCCCCAGGTTGGCCCTGCCTTCCCACCAAGTGCACAACAGCTCAGTCAGTCAAACTCTCCTACAGGGATTAACCACATAGGTGGAAAAGGGAAGCTGTTTTAACAAGAGAAAAGGTAAGGATAGCAACAAATACATAAGTGATGAACTGGTATTGACTGTAACCTCAAAGCAAGCAGAAAGCACATCCAAACACAGAAAGCATTTCAGACATGACATCTGAGTTTAATCTGCTCTAATTTAACACATTTTCCATCCCTAGAACTGAAAACTCAGACATTGTTTCCGTTTTCTGTCATCTTTGGCAAATGCACGGACACCTACCAAGTTGCACCTTTTTCCAGAGTTCAATAGATATCATCTACATTAGCAAAAGAGGCTTCCACTCAATGCTGGCCCTCCCACACACAGATCTGAATTATCAAAGGTCTTTGCAGATGACAGCTCGAATAACCTGGGATGTCTCAGCTGCAAAAACATGGGGAGAGAGGAGAGCCCAACTCTGTCTTCATCCTCCGCAGCTGCACTGAAATAAATTTTGAAAGATCCAAAGTAATCTTTTGTCTGTTTATAGAATTCATAAATTTGGATAACAGAAGAATCCCTGAAGAAATAAACAGATTATAACCACTAATAATCACTCACATCTCCTTGGACCTTGTTAAAACCAAATGTCACTAGCTGTGGGAGTGTTATGAGAAAGATATCTAAAATTAACTGATCAAAACTTGTTGCACAGGTCAAGCAATGTGAAGGAAGGAACCTAATGAGGACTCTGCTCTTCACCCTCCAAATTTCTAATGGCTGCTTGAAAAATTATTTTCACTAGATTCTTATCTGTGTATTTCCAAGGTAATTTGTATACCTTTATGTCACACAAATTTGTCATTGACTGTTCCAAAAATTAACGTAGAGAGAAAGCCTTACATGAACAACTCAGGAATTCAGCAGTCAGTCAAGCAATTATTAGCTTCAGCTGGTATAAACTGTGATATTATCTAAAATTCATCTGTCTTTATTATACCCTGCTACAAAGGAAACAAGAAATCCAAGTATGCCCATCCAGCAAAGAGCAGCTTGGTCCTACAAAAGGGAGAGAGAATTTCCTGCAACAACAACAAAGGGAAAAAGAGCTGAGCAGAGAAGCTGGGTTGCAGGGTGAGAGAGATCTTTTCATTTCAGCAACACTCGTTAGCATTACATAGAAAGCTGGCTTGCAGGATTTCAACACACACCTGTCTGCCTCTTCTGAGTTTCATAACTCAACCCACAACATAATTTGTTTAAACAGTGCTCTCACTCATTTCTCCTTAAATAAAAGGACACGTTCCCAGGGTTTTGAGGTGTCATTGGATAGTTTGTTGCTAAAGGAGAAACTGGACTGATTCCAGTAAAAATACACACTCGGGGAATCATAGCACAAACAGCAAAATAAGGCAGTACATAAAGGATTACAACAAAGAAAACATGTAGTAAGATCAGCAACACATCTGCCTTAGAAAACCTTGCTTTTCAGAGGGAAGAGTTGTAGTTTTTGATAAAGACTATCTTTTACCTATATAGTGCAGCACTGCAAGAATACACTGTGCTTGTGAGTTCCAGATATTGATATCCAGAGAAGGATGGGTTTGTAACATACTCCTTCACTCCAAAAAGGATAAAAGAGTTATGCAGCTGTTTTTCATCACCCTGTGGGCCGTCTGCTCAGGCAGTTGAGATAGGAAACTTCCAGGAGAGAGCTGTTCTAAGGAGATAAAGTGTTTGTCTCATCAAACACAATGCTTGAAAGAAAAAATGCTCTTTCCCAAACTTGCATGGGATCTCCTTTCCAGAGGGAAACCTTGTCGTCAGTGCCCAAAGCACAGGTTGAGAATGAATGACAGCCTCTGGTCACTGGAAGCTACCGCAAACCCACAGTAATTGTGGGCCTGTGGGTCAGGTTTAGCAAGGACACAAAGAACACGGGGAATGGATACTCAGGCTGCATGTGAAACCCAGCTACATGCAGTTCAGTGGTTGGCAATCACAAACTGCAGCTTCCCTGTCTACATCCTGGTCATCTCCAGCTGTGCTCCTCTGCTGGTGAAACCCATTGCAAACATCCCAACTGACATCTGCTCCCCTGAAAACTGAGCCACCTTGTGTAAAGTAAGCAATCTTGATCCTTGTCACCTTCCTGAGATGTGCACACAATGAAAATTCTAATTTTCATACTGTTTGATTTGTATAGTAACTGGACAGGGACACAAAACCCCTGCATTTGTCAGCTTGGGGTAGGTAATAAATGCAGGTCAAGTGACTTGAGATCAGGACTGTTTAGGTTCCCACATCAACTTCAATTCCTCCTGCTTCTTTTCTGCAGGTAGAGCTGAGCTTCAAGCAAAAAAAAATTTTTTAGCCACAAGGCATTCAAGCTGGTTCAACAAGTACACTTGTAACAGTTTCAAATACCTCAGGGGATAAATGAACTGTAAGCTAAAACAGCCACAGACACCTCCCCAGAATACCAGACACTAAGCACCAAAAAAAAAAAAAAAAAAACCAAAAAACAACAACATAAAAAGCAACAATCCCAAAGAGCAATGTTTGAGGGCCCCAGCTGAAAAGTGACACCTGCCCATGATTGCAAACAGGAGCCCAGCTGGGAGCTCTCCCCAGCTAATCCCTCCCAAGAGGCAAAAAGCAAAACAAAACCTCTGCAATCTGCAGAAAACTAGAAAGAAATTGATACTGCTTCTTCCTGACTCACATCTTACTCCTCAACTACAAGGCAGCTTAGTCTTGTTTACCACTTGCAAGCACGAAAGGGTTAAGAGCCTTGCACAAACTTTGTGTGTGATGAGCTGGCAGCCTCCCTCCTTTCCCTCCTCTCCTGCAGCCAAGATACAGCAGCGTTGGAGTGCTGCGATCCAAGCGGTGAAGCACACAAAGAGAAATCTCCTTGTTTTCTGCTTCTATTGCCTACGAAGAACAGAGCACCAGCTCTGATGCTGTTGAGTCAGATTGTAAATTGACATCAAGACTTGGAATAAGAGCCATACCTGACATTAAACCACACAAATTCAAGAGCAAAGGAGAAGACAGCAACAGATATGCCAAATGCACTAAAAATGCACTGAATCCAACAGTAAGACTGCAAATCTTTTTGTACTAATCCCACTACCTAGGAGGAGATATGCCTTGATACATCACCAGCAAGCTCATGGTCCGAACCAGCCGCTCTAGTGCCTAATCCCAAAACTCCTGCTTCTGAAAGGTAACTATGCTTTATTCTGTTCTCTCCCTATGCGCTGTCACAGCTGAGACACTACCATACTATCTGGCACTTCAGCATAAGAACAAAAAACACCACCACTGAAATAAAAGACACTCCCCCTTTCCTCTCAGATACTCCCTGAAGAAAATGCAAGCCATGGATGGAACTGATACTTAAATGCCTTGTTTGCATTTCTTCAACACTGTCTTATCTCTAAAAGTCACCTAGACAGAATACACCTGGCAATGTCTGTGCTCTAAAAGAAATGTTTCTGTGCTTGTCAGACAGCTCAGAGCACCTTAAACTGCTTTGGAATAACCATTCTCTTCTGTCCCACTTCACTCATTGCAGTAACGTTAGTATTGGCTGGAAAAGCAAAAGAACTCGAAAGTTGCCCTCACTTTCAGAGATGCCTTACTAGCAGGTGACACATAGCAATCTGGGAGTAAAAGGAAATAAGTGAGATAAGACACGAGTTGCAAAACAAATTTCTGATGTCTGTCTGCATGGTTGAGGGGGAGGGAGGAATTTTTTTTCTGCTTCTCTGTGACCTAGAAGGTGACAAAGATGCGAAGGGGCCATGTGGGCTTCCTAAGAATGGGGAAAATCTTGATAGTTCCTGAAGCTGCAGAAGGAGGGTGGTAATTGCAGCACTGATGAAGTTTTGGCTCAGATTTGCTCTCTTGTTAAGACATACTCCAAGAAGAAATTTTATTGGTGTTTTGTTCGGGGCATCTGTTTTCATTACCGTTGTTTTGCTGTTGTCATTTTCTGTTACTAAATCAAATGTTCTGTTTTTGTTATTAATCCTTGCATAAAATGAGCACAAAGTGCTGAAAAGGAAGTGTCTGTTTGGAATCAGCCTGTATCCACTGAGCATTAGTGAGCATTAACGGTGCTTGACACTCCTTAGAAACTGATACATTGTCCAGCCAGAGCAAAGCAACAAAGCCCTGATGAAGAACATAGATCACAGTGAAGTTTGGCAACACTTACGCTGCTCTGCTCTCTAATAAATCTCTACTTAATTTGTCCTCGTACTGCTGGTCTTCAAAGGGTAGCCAGAGAGGTTTTGTCTGTAGTACTATGAGTTACACAAAGTTATAAATACTAATCTGCTTTATGCACAGGTTTTGTAGAACCTCTGTGAACCCATTTACTTTCACATTACCTTGATCTCCACAGTTTTCAAGTTTGCATTCCTTAAATGAGGGAGTTCAAGCTGAATTTACTAACATCCAAAAAGATACATTCACTGAGATCACTGGCAAATTGAACAGCAGAAATCTTTAGTGCTGCCTGGGGCTACTGAATTATTTCTGGGAAAAAAAAAGAGATGTAGTTAAGTTCACAGCTTTCAACAGCCTGAGTAGTTGGTTGCCCCTGACAGTTCTATAGTTGAGACTACAAAAAAATGAAAGCCAAGCCTCTACTGCTAATATTTCTATTATTAATCTGCTCCATTAGCTCTGCTAATACTATTAGCAGAGCTTTCTCAATTCAAGGTCTTGGCTTATAGTTAATTATTGAACTTAAGATTAATGTCCTTAGCATTCTGCATTCTAATTTTATAAAGGAGGAAAGATCCTAATGGCTTAAGTAGAGAAACCAGCTCTGACTTTTGCTCTTAGTGAGACAGCAGATGAGATGGGCATTGCTCTGTGCTTTAACGCATGCGTCAGATTCCAGATCGACTACATTTCATTATCAACAAGGAAATCTTACTTTAAATACAAAGGTTTAAAATGATACGAAGGTTACTGGCCATATTAATTTCCACTTGCTTTATGTCATGAGAATATTCCTCATGGGGGAATACTTGTCACTTATGTCTGAAGAACAGAGTTAAGATACATTGCCCTATAATTGGCTAAGTGCTTGGTTATAACACAGCCTTCACATCCCCTGCTCTTGCCTCAGCTCCAAACCTGCTCAAGTCACTGCCACAGACTATATAACAACGCTGCAATTTTTGCTCACTGCTAGAGACCTTGAAGGATGCCCCAAGGCTGCCCTAAGACCAGACAACAAGATTAGTCCGCAAGCTTGCATCTCTGGATGTTTAAGCATACTTAAGAGTTGCTTGTTCTGTCACTGGTACACTGGGGGGCAGAGTAATACAGCACCCACCACATCCTAACTGAAGCTTTCAAATCTTAAGTTCTCCCAAGCCGTTCAGCATCAAACTGCATATTCTGAAAAACAAACATTTCTATACATACTCTAGCCTTGGACAGGGCTGGAAATTTCTTTCTAGTACCCTTTTTTTTTTTTTTTTTTTAACAGTAGTATTATCTGCATTTGTTTGTGAGGATTTCTGTGTATACTGTAAACATTGTTGTCTGGGGAGATTTATGATCTGTACATAAAAAATTCATTCACCTCGGTTTGCAAGACTTGCTACAGAAATACAATGCAAATGCTTTACTTCAGTTATTCCAACAAAAACAGGTGTTGCTGTTTATAGGTACCCTGACAACCCAGTTGTTACATGCCCAAGAGAGTTCCAGGGGAATTTTTTTCAACCATACCTAGTGGATTCTGGACACATAAGCATACCCAGCAAAAGAAACAAGGGGTCCTAACAAATAAAAAACACGTGTAGGGCACTGGCTGGATTCTTGTTCCCTTCTAAGATACCTAATGCCATAGACTGTGAAGCCTCCTCTTACCTTTAAAGTAAGAACCAGAGGAGACTAATATTTAGACTCGCATGGTCTTCCTCTAAACTTCATAGAATCATGTAATTATAGGGGTCAGAAGAGACCTCTGGAGATCATCCAACCCCCCATTAAAGCAGATTCCCTAGAGTAGGTTACACAGGAAGGCATCCAGGCAAGTTTTAAACAACTCCAGAGAAGGAGACTCCACAGCCTCTCTGGGCAGGTTGTTCCAGTGCTTTGTAATCCTCAAAGTAAAGAAGTTTTTCTTCATGTTTATATGTAATTTCCCATGCTCCCCTTTGTGCCCATTGCCCCTTGTTCTGTCACTGGGCATCACTGAGAAGAGCCTGGCCCCATGTACTTGATTCCTGCCCATTAGATATTTACAAGGTTTCTACTCAGTCTTTTCCAGGCTGAACAGCCACAAAACTTTCAGCCTTTCCTCAGTAGGAAGATGCTTCAGGCCCTGATGATCATTGTGGCTGTCCACTGAACTCTCTCTAAAAGTTACCTGCAGAAAATGTTCTTGGTTTGGTGAGCCCAGAACTCGACACGGCGCTCCAGATGTGACCTCTCCTCCAAGGAAGGATCACCTCCCTTTGACCTGCTGGACACTTTTCTTGATGTACCCATTGGCCTTCTTGGTCACCAGGACACACTGCTGGCCCTTGGCCACCCTGTTGTCCACCAGCACACCCCAGTCCTTCTCCACAGATTGCCTTCCCAACAGGTCAGCCCTTAACCTGTACTGGCACATGCAGTTATTACTCCATGGTTGTAGAACTCTGCACTTGCCCTTGCTGAACCTCATAAGGTTCCTCTTTGCCCAAGTCTCCAGTTAAATAGATCAGAAGCAGCACTGAGCCAAAGTGGCTCACAGGAGCACAACAAGGGATTAAACTCATTTCTTACCTAAAGCTATCACATACACATTAGGCTATTTTTAAACTTGGTTTCATTTCTCTCATATTTCCCTCTAGACAGACAACTTTTCACAATGCGTTACAAGAAACTGGAAATTCTATATTCCAAGCAAGCATCAGTAACCCTGGATTAACACACAAACTTCCCAGCAGACACCAACATTCCCCCTCTCATGCAGGGATAAACCACCTGCTGTTGGAAAAGCCAGTAGAAAACTTGCTCTTTTTGGAAAGCAGCACTTGCAAAGACCAAGATTATACAACCCCTTGCAGATCAATTTGGAAGGAGAACCAAAGCATCTCACCTTCCGAAGGAGGTGGCCTACTAGAAGCAGCAGCCAAGGATTTTGAGAACAAAATAGAAGATTGGTGGCCATGTAAAATACAAGTCTAGTGCTTGTTATCATTATGATAGTAACTATGGTTTACAAAGGCTTATTATTTGCAGTCTGCTAACTCTGTGAAACAGATTGAGGACAAGAGGATAGCATTTCCTCCTGAATTTTACACAGAAGTCATATCACCATCTGTCTTCTTTTGACCTACTTTTTGAGACCAGTGAGGTAAGACATTGAAGTTGAAAGTAAATAGAAAAAAATGTAGCAAAGTTGACAGCAATGACTGAGATTTATTTCAAATTCCATGGAAACTTGACTGGACGCATTCACTATCCAACTCTGGCTACAGAAGTAGACAAAGCAGCAGATAAATATTCTGGTCTCTATGTGTATGTGGGATTGTTCTTAACAGTTCTGGCTATCCTTCTCATATTGCTTTTCACCTTGCTTTTGCGCCTGAAGCATGTTGTTTCCCCAGTCACCACACCTCCAGAGAGCACTGAGAATGGCCAGCAGTTCACAGATGTGGAAATGCACTTCAGGATTCCTACCACTTAGAGACCCCCATGAAAAGATGTGGTGGAAGGAACTTCTGCCCACCTGTATGAGCCCTGTAACTTCCTGCATAACCATCAACAGCAGCACAAAAGACCTGGTGTCATGAACTCAGACACTGACTGGCTGGGACCCACTGGCTGTTCACCAGGCAACGCGTGCAAGACCCTCAATAAAACTTACATTATGAAAATCACTGCTGTCAGACTCATAATCCTCTAAAAACCCTTTCAGAATATGATGAGAAGTGTAACCAGGAAAGACAAAACAAAGAGGTGCATATCAGAACATGTACTGGAGTCTGTATTTGCTGTCCTATTGCTCTGCCTTTAAATTCTTCACCTGAGAAGAGACTATTCAAAGTTATTTGACTAAGTGCAAAAAGCCTACAGGGCACATACAGAAATAACTGGTGGTCTGGAAATTCACAGACATTTCTCCTATTTAAGAAAGATAATAGGAAACATCTTTCCTACTTGAATGGCATGTTTGTACAGCAGACTTTCAGTAGTAAACAAATGTTTCATCACCTGCTGGAACTATTGGTTTCTCACATTGAACTGTTTCCCATACAGATATCAGAAAGAGCACTTAAAGAAAAAAATGTGCAAAATAAAAACAAAACAGCAGGAAATGAGCAGCAGGAGAGAAAATGTTAAGACACTCTACTTCTTTGTTGCTCTCTAAATTGACTGAGAAGATTACAGATGCAGTCATATCTTCCAGCCTTCCCAGTATCACTTGGTAACTAAAATGGATTGTAACATTTGGGAATCAGATGGATATTTGTTTCCTAACAGACAAATTCAGAATAATTTTCAATCTCATTCATGTTGGGTTTTCTTTACAGAAAGACAGATGACTTCTTTCCAAGCTTTTCTAGTTCTTTTTCTCCTTTTTCCTCTACCAAAGTAGAGAAAGTTAAAGAAATGCCAAAATCTGGCACTGCAATAATGAAGAGTGAACAGCTTTGGATATAGTCTGGTAGGGAACATGCAGATAGAAAGCAAAACAGACTGAGCACTAAAAGACAGGACTGGATTCAAATATCCTGGTGAATCAGTTAAAAGAATGAGGAGAAATGCTTAAATTTATGAAGCAGCAACCTGACCCCAATCCTCTCACCTATGAAAGATACAGAAATAAGTTTATCTGTGTAAATGTGAAAAATGGAATAAAATAAGGCATATCAATTTCACTGCATCTTAGAGGTAAACTTTGAACAATATTCTGCTACACCTCTGAAGAGCATGGATTTCACCCAGCTTATCTTCTCTATTACAGAACATCTCTAACATGGTAATAAACTCCTCTGGTACTTTTCACTGTTTTCTGTATACACTTCTTGTCAATTCACTTTGTCCTCTAAGGGCCTGAAAAGTGCATACTCCCCACGTAAAAACATCGCTACAAATAGAGATGACACTCTCTCCACAGTCAGTGCCAGAAACAATAAGTTGTTTCTCAGATGCTTCATGTTCACAGATTCTTTACTTACACTTATAGGCCTGTGTATGGGTGAGCTGTTTTTATGAGAAATTGCTTTTTTAGCCAATTCTGTGGGGGAGAATAGAATAACAAATTACATTCACACTAAGTATGGTTGGTCCACTGATGTATTTGGCACAAAGCTATTTAAAAACCCTGCTTTCTCATATTGAATAGCACCATTTATATAACATTAACCTAATCTAACATTTAGTCTGTAAAATGGCATGTTGACTGTGTAAGAGGAATACAGCAGCCATACACATCTACCCGGAAAAGAAGGTAAAAAGCTAGATATCCTCAAGCTTTCTGCCATGGGCACAACACAGATCAGCAGGAAGGATGGTTGGGTCCTCCAGGAGTGCTACTTTCAGCACTGCAAGAGAATCCAAATTCTATGTGATGACAACTTGAGCATTAACCCAGCTAAGACATGTGGCTGCTACATTAGTCGATGACACTTAAGTGTAATGAAAACCTACGCAGATTAAACTGGCTTGGTACACATCATCCATTCAGCTATCAGGGTGCAGTCTAGCCCAGGGTCAGCATCCAGCTTGCTTTGTATGACTTCTCAGTGTACTTGATGCTTGTACTTGTAATTCATTTACGATTCAAATAAACTATCATACCAAATCAGCAACTGAAACATTAACCTTCCAGCACACTATCTGTGGAAAAGCTTTCTTTATGAAAAGCAGTAGGAAATATTCAAATATTAACAAAAAAATATTAAGCCTACTAATGAAAAATGACAGTACCAGAATCTGAGCTGCCTCGTGGCTCTGATCACAACTGAAAAGCCACAAGAAATGAGTCAGGACTGGGTTTTTTGCCTTGTTAATTCAGAAGAGCCTTGTAACCCTTTAAAAGTTATTCAGTGTATAGTTTATACATCATTACATCATATCTTAGTGAAACTGTGCATTTGCATAACAGTACTAAAAGCCATATTTTCTAATACAAAAAAAAAAAAAACACCACTAAGTCTTCCTTTAAATTTCCTTCCTTTCAAACAAAGTATCAGTCCACTGCATCATCTACATTCTCAGAGACACTGAGTGCGTCATTCATACAATGTCAGCAAATTTTAAAGCTTGCATTTCCTATTTAAAATAAAAGTATGCTTTTTCTCCCCATTTCATTTTCATTTGTAAAATTCAAGACATGATGCCTGTAAGAAAAGAGATTGTTGAGGTGTTTTGACCTGGGTTTGCTGAGGAGACATGAGTCAGCTACTAGGAATGCTAACTGTAACATCCGCATGGATCTGCTGGATCTGAAAGCATCACATCCACACCACCTCCTTCTATCAGTTTGTTTCCTTCTCATTTACTTACTACAAAAAAAAAGTTTATTTAAAAAAAAATCAAAATTAAAGAGACATTACAATCAGTTGTGAGTCATTGATTGCTCTGTACTACTAGCAGAATGCTCTCAAGGTACGGATCTCAGAGGCAAGTTCATATGCAGAAATAGGTTCAGGTAGCGCCAATGGATTTCAAATTACTTGCTGGCCTCAGGAAAGCATCTCTGTAAGAAGAGCCCCAGCAGGCTTTGTAAGTTTTGCTTGAACAATAGTTTGCTCCCATCTTTACTACAATTCAGAAGTTGGAAACATGACTGTTTATTAAGTTCATCACCTCCTCCATTTTGCAGTTGTGGACAAGACCGACAGTTGAAAACTTAGTTGCATGCTTCCTCTACACCAGAAAAAGAAATATGCCCTCATCCTGCACTAACATGTAGTAACACAGCAGTGCAGATAGACAGCTAAGCATTAAAGCACGTTGCAAGAAAGATGCAGGCTCCTCCTGCTGATGCCATGAGTGAAAAATAACCTTAAACTGATTTTGAATTTTGAGCCTTGGATTTTTTGGATTCATCCAGCTGTAGGTAATGACAAGTTGTGAAAGCAGATCTTGATATTATATGGAAACATCTGTTCAATTCATACATAATTGTGAAATTACACTCTCTATACTCCCACTTGAATTTCATTTCTGTATAAACTTGTCAACTGAGAAACAAAGGATGAATAATTCAGAAGCCCTTTCCCTCCCTTCCCTCTCCTCTATATTTATTAACCCATTTTCAAACTATAATTCAATCAAGCTAATGGCCACATCTTCCAAAACTGACTCTCTCTACATTTATCCTGTCTCTAAGGTCAAAGTTCTACTCAGGAGTCCCATTTATCAGCAACCAATTAAGACACAGCATCCAGGCACATGCAAGTCAAATGAGACCTCGTGCTTTGTTACTTGACATCTGTTCTTGTCTGCAAGCAAGCAATTCATATTTTTTAATCTAGACTTTTGTCCTCAACCTGTTTTCTCTTCAAGTCCTGAAACATTTGTACATCAATAGCTACTGGCTGATATTTCCTTGTGGCTTTACAAAGAACAGACATACCTACCAGCATTACAGAAGGATGAGGCAGAAAGCAGGACTTATTTGGGATACATCTGCATACCACAGGCACCACTGTGAACTGACACTGGACAGACAAATTCTTCCTTAAAAAGCAGGGGACATTCAGAAGCAAGTTGTACTTGGGCTACCTTTGAACTCTGTTGGCAAGCAAGTGCTGGCTCTACCTACAGGACAGCACAAACCCATGAGCTGGATTTGAACGTATTACAGGCTCAAGCACTCTGCACCTCCTACCCCATCATTCTTCACATGTCCCTTACACATCATATACACATCAGAATCCTTCATTTGTCTCAGAACTAATGTGGAGTTGTTTCTAATACTGTGGCACAGAATGCAACTGGAGATGGCTTTTTAAGGCTATGTGAGCTTGTAATATTAGCTTGAAAGGCACAAACCTAGTTGCCATCTGCTGAAACTAAATTTAAGATAATCTCTGTTTTATACCTTATGCCTTAGCAACCCTAATTCATACTAATTCATGCTCATTGTAGTCAATGTGCAGAACTTTTTATAATGTTACTCAATAATTCTCAGGTTACCGGGAACTTATCAAAATAGCTGAGGCATAATTAATACTTAATAGCCCAGGAAGCCAGTAGGAGGCTTCCACCAGCAAATCCTAGAGCTTGTCACAATATAATTAAACCGATGTGAATTCACTGCACTTTACAGTTTTTTCATGCTACCAGCACCAGGAAAGTCTCAAAACAGTCCTTACAGTGCTGTATTTGTCAACAAGGGAAGTCCAAGTGGTAACATCAGACCAGTTTGCACTTTGTACATATTGGTACCTGGTGGGAAAGAAATGTCATTCACTGTTGTTGAAAGCATCCTGCAAAACAGGAGCATTCTGAATTGCCTAGGTTTTGCCCAATGTTGTACTACATTATATACTAAGTTTTGAAGCTATTTATTGTTGTGCAGCATAACAAACACCAAAGGGACAGCTGACAAATACAGCACATCAACATTCTCCATATGTGCAACTATAAGCTATTCTGGAAGGAGCCACTGAGATCAGAATACTGGGGCTGTTTTGCCTTCATTTGGCTTTTGTTTGCAAGTAGGCACCAGTTTGCTACCAGACACATTATTGCCCCATTGTGCTATTTAATTCCACATGCAGGCTGTTCAGAAAGGATTAGCATCTCCCATTGCAGGAGGTACAGCTAAGCATTCACAACAAGCACATCTACACTTGGCCTAGGTGAGAATTGGTGAAATTTCAACTTTTCCCATGAATTTTGCTAGACTTGGAAGCATTAAAAT